AACAATGAACTCAAAAGCTGCTATCAGGGGGCCCGCGGAGAGGCGCCTGTACCTCTCGTGAGGACTGTGAACATGGGAGTGAAGCAGGGGGGACCCTGCGGAGGAGGAGGGGGCCCGGGGTCCAGCAGAGCTGAGAGCCGGAAACTCACCGACCATGACAGACGTGTAGCTCTGCGCGGGGTCGAAGGGACACCTTCCTTTGCCATCTTCATTTTTCCCCAGAAACTGAAAGGATGTTAAGCTCTATAATGGAACAAGAAGAAAGAGAATCACAACGTGTCTGCGTTTCTGCAGTCATAGCGTTGTCTTCGTTGCACGGTTTAATTACAGACTCGCTCCTCCGGGGGGACGGAGGGGAGAGCGCATGTGCAGCCAGCCCCCGAGTTCCGGTCTGGACGCCGGCGTCTCGGCGTGCTCGCTTTGACACCCTTGAGAGCCCCTTGAGATTCTGGAGCCTCGGTTTGCTCCTCTGTAAGACAAGCACAGCGGTGCTGATGGCTCAAGGGCCGTCGAGCAGCCAGGGCAACCCAAACACAGGACGTGCTCTGGAATGAGCAGAGGACACGTGCAGAATCCTAACGTCCACAGAGATGGCCCTCGTGGCAGCGGGGGACCCGGCCAGCCAACGAACAGATGACAGGAAGGAGCAGGACCTCCCCCTCATTCTGCCACCAAAACCCACTGCAGATGGATCAGTGACTTGAAAATTAAAAACGGAACCGTGCTGCGTGAACAGAGATTTCAGTCTTAGGACAATCCTGTCACCTAGCGAGAGAGCCCGGATCAAGTCGGGGAGAGAGACAACGGACAGAGCCAACACGCAGAGGACCGGGCGGCTCCTGTCGACAGAAAGAATGAGACAGAGACCAGCAACAGTGACCACGTGGGGGGAAAGCCTGCAAAATGGGGCGTCTCCACCCCGAACGTGTCACAAGCTTGTTCAAATGAGGTAAGAAGGCACCCAGGAGGAAAATGGTCAAAACACAGCAAGTGAGAGGAAGAAGAAACCCCGGGGCAGCGCAGACAGGAGAGGGTGCTCCGAGCTACCGGAAACCCAGCAAGCACGCGGAAACGGGCGCGGGAGGCGATTTTCCACCCAGCAGCCTGGAGGAGCTCCAGAAGGTGGACAGCCTGCCTGCGGGGGTGGACGGGCCGCCTCACTGTCTGTCTGCCTGCCTGCCTGAGGGAGGGAGGGGAACGTGTCACAGCCACAGAGCAGAAAGGGCCCAGGCGCACGAGGAAAGCCGCGGCCACGTTTCTAGCAGGCGGGTGAAGCGACACGCTCCGCTTCGGTCACCAGGCGTGAACCGGGGCTGCCAGGGCACTCACTTGGCGCGACCCGCGGGCCCAGTTCCCAGGGAATGTTTGGGGAAATCTGCGCGAGGACTGAAGGTGAGGTGACACCGGGGAACTCCTAAGTCTTAGATGTGATGACAGACTTGGCATGACGCAGGAAAATGCCATTACTCTTAGGCACGTGACAGCATTCAGGGGTCACGGGCCACAGCTGCGCACGCTCCCCACTGTGCGGTCCAGGTGCTTGGGACATGCGGGCAGGACCAACTGTGCTGTCGGCTTGAAAAACTTTAAATGTTGGGGGAAAAAATACAGGTCTAGCTTGAAATGGAATATACGACTCCCCGACTTCAACAAACGACGTGTCTATGGAACTGAAGTTTAAATTCCACACGCTAAGATTCTAACTAGAGTTTAGCCAGGAAGCCCTTTCACGTACCAAATGTTCCTAATACGACTACTACGCAGTCCGTGGCTGAGGACCGCAGGTCTCGGCGTCTCGAGCACCCCCCACCCCGACACCAACCTCGGCCGCGGGGTCTGTGGACACAGACGGCCCGGCAGACCCAGGCCACGTGCGGACCCCTCCCCAGGGGTCCGTGTGAACACCAGCCTTTCCAGGCAGATCCTTACTTCGCCACACCTTGTCCTATCATCTACCTCTGACTCAGGCTTGGAAAATATTTTAAAGTTCCAACTGATTTAGGGTTTAAGCAGAGTAAGCCCTCCGCGCCGGCGTACTTCGCGTGTGACGGGTGCTCGCTAAGTCAGGGTAGAAGGTGGGCCTCATTTTCAACCCTCACGTGCATTTACAACACTCCTCCTCCCCATCTGTGGTCGTTACAAATGGCTCATCAGATCCTCTGGGGACGAAGATTACCTCCGGGAGAGACACCGCCCGCTAACGCCCTCGCTCCTTCCAGCTCACAGTCCGCAGGTGAGTCAGCAGCGGCGGGAGGGCGGGGTGAGGGTGGGGGCCCTCTCCCCAGGACCCTGGCGCAGCGGAAGGCAACTGACCAGGCTCGGGGTGAGTCGGGGACGTGACGCAGGCGAGGGAGGGGCGAGGCCCTGCTTCTAAGCCCCAGCACACTCACTCGCCCTTGGAGGAGCGAATTCCAGAAGGGGCATCGGGGCAACTCACACCCCAGCAGCCGGCACCGGATGGCAGCGCCCCAGGACCAGAGGGGCAGACACGCTGTCCTGGGGACAGCGGGCCCAGGCTGCTCTGAAGACCACACGTGGGATGGGGACACACATTCACTCCTCTTGGTTCTGGGGGCAGGACGCCAGGGATCAGGGAGCCAGCATGGTTAGCTCCTGGCGAGGAGCCCCTTCCTGGCTCGCAGACAGCGGCCTTCTTGCTGCGTCCTCACGTGGTGAGAGAGAGAGAACGGTCTCTGATGTCTCTTCCTCTTCTTGTGAGGCCATCATCCCATCGGATCAGGACTCCACCCTTAGGATCTCGTTTACCTTCACTTATCGGGGAATTATGGCTTCAACATATGGATTTGGGGGGGTCACAGACATTCAGCCCACAACATACACGAGCCAAGAACCAGGGATGGACCTAGGAGCAGAGGTCCTGGCTTCCCCACTTGGCCAGGACCCAGCACGTAGCCAGGGCTCCTCAAACAGTGCAGAACGTGACAAAGAGAAGCAGGCAGGACGCTGGGTCCCGGCTCACTGTGCTTCTCTGTCAACAACGCCCCTCCCAGGAGGTGCCCCGCTGCCAGCTTTGCACCGTGGGCCAGTGGCCCCGTGGGTCCTGCCCCGGCCACGCCCTCAGTCATGCCGAGAGGAGGCTGGCGAGAGGATGGGGCCTTCGGAGCTGCCCCACCCCCACACGGCTGCAGGGAGGAAACCCCCCGGGGCTGCAGAGTGGGGATCACCGGGCGCTGCTCCCGCCCTGCTCTGCTCTGACTGCTGGCCAGGGACGCGCTGCAGCCTTACCAGGTGGTCGCAGGCCGGCTGGAACGCGTTGGTCCCGCACACGTAAAGGGCGCCGGCACTCAGCGGCTGCAGCACGCGGATGTAGTTCAGGCATTCCGTCTACAAGGGCGGGAAGCGCACGGGTCAAGCAGATGTCCTCTCAGCCCACCGGCGACGGGCCCCCGCCGGCGTGTTCACTGCTGCGTGTCCTCACACACCGGCCTGGCCCAGCCCTGCCCAGCATGGGGGAGCAGACTCACTGAGACCCGGCCCCACCCCTGGACAAACCTCCGTCTGCAGCAGGCTGAGGGCTTCTGTCTCCGCAGCGCCCACAGGCCGCTGTCACGTGCCAAGTGGACTTCACTTCAGGCACTAATCTGCACTCAGCCAAGATGTGCCGCCAAAACAGCCATGGAAGCTGACCTCGAACCTCGCTGGACACCCACCACGGGAGAAGCCATGTTCGCTCCCTGAGCACACGCGCACCGGGCTGGCAGGCCCACAGGGAAGTGCGCTGTGCGGAATTCCCTCCGCCTTCCCCTGCTCTGGGGGGCCCAGCCTCCACACCCCAGTGCGTGCAACTGGAAACAGTGCTTGTCAGGAGAGGGGTGTGTCTCACCCGCCCAGCTCCGGGCCGAGGCTGGACTAATGAGGGGTCCGCCTCAGAACGCCGCCGAGGAACCCGCTATTTCAGGCTGAAATGTCCTTGGATTATACGTGCCAGTATCTGAAATTATCCCTGCTCAGAAAAGTGTTTTTGTTTTTGTTTGTTTTCTTTGTGCCACGATTGTTCTTTAAACTGGCTTTAAACTCATCCTCCCCAAAAGGAACTGGGAGGGGCCCTGACCGCCGCACGGTCGCCCTAATTCAGCTCCAGGGCCACTCCCTGCAGCGCCCAATGCTACACTGCAAGGCCTGCATGTTCCCTCGTTTCTCACACTAACTTGAATTTGGTGACTTTAAGTGAAAGTGTTGAGCATTTTGCTGAAAATAATTTAGCCAAAATTCTCTTACTTTTGGTTTTTAAAAAAACAATTTAACTGTTTTGAAATTAACTGGTAACTACTGCGATTTACAACTCAGTTGTCTACACCAACTGCCAAGACAGGGTCTTAAATTCTAAGACTCCAACACTGGCCCAGCACCAGTTAGACGCAGGGAGGCCCAGTGGGTGAGGGGGTAACCCGAGCTCGGGACGGAGACAGACCCTCAGCCCAGGGCTCCCAGACGGGCACCTGCTTCAGGTGCCCCGCATCTCCTGGAGAAGGAGCAGACTCTCAAGGGAGAGGTGCTGCCCCAAATCCAGGACCCCTGCACCCCCCGCCAGGCCGCTGGGGTGCAGCGGCGGCACGAACCCTGCACGTCACACCTTCAGCCAACAGGCACCAGGCACTGCTTTCTGTAGTCAAAGTTTTAGGCCCTCTGAATAAATTCAGTTCAGATAACCTTTTAAGTAATTTGCAAAAGCTGTGTTTGGCACCTGCTTTGAGAGCCCCAAGCTCACCAGCTGGGCACAGAGGGGTCACCTGCAGGGGGAGTCGGGAGGACGTGACTGCTAGAATTCTGAGGGCTGGGCCACCGCCTGGGCGGTGCTGAGCAAGCTGGGGCACGCGGGAGCGCAAAGCAACTAAGAAACGCCTGGGTGGCCTTTGAAGTCGGCTGACGAAGTTACCTGTTTTGACTTCCCCTTCTCCGCGCATTTGGCTTTTTTATCTTCTGAGACCTTCCAGTAGGCCTGTGAGGAGGAATGAGGGTCCATTTTAGTGCACGTTCCCCCTTTCAAAGGAGATGCTGGCATGAAAAACGTACAGTTCACAAAGCGCACGGCGGCGTCTAGAGCACAACTATTTCCCGAGACGGTAACATCCGAGGCGGCAAAGCGAGGCTCGGAGAGCAGGCACCGGGGCCCGTGAGCAACCGGTCCTGGGAAAGTTCTAGCCATGAGCCTCCCCCGCAGCCGGGGACCGGGAAGGCTGCTCCCGGATGACCGTGGTTCACAACAAAGCAACTGCAAAAACTAAACGTGTGCAAGTGGGGAGGACTGAATTATTTATCAAAAAGCTGAACCACCGGCATTCTCAAGACCAGAGTGGGTTTCTTCATCCCTTCCGAAGTGACTCTGGAGTCCAGTAAAAAGTCTTTGCCGTTTACTTGAACCATCAGTGAAACGGCAGGATGATGAGTCTCTAAATGTTATGTGATGGCAGCAGGGGAAGGCAACGGAGCAGCGCGCGGGTGGAGCACC